TTTGTTAAAATTGTTCTTCATTTTAAGAATTATATTGTTTCAAAGTGTTTTTTACACTAAAAATAAGATGTGTGCATAGGAATTCATTCAAGTTTTTTTAAAAAAATTATAATCCAGCCCTCCAACAGTTTGAGGGACTGTGACCTGGCCCTCTGTTGAAAAAGTTTGAGGACGCTTGCTAAAAGGAATCCCAAAATTTTAAAATCAGGCATATTAATCCTCACACTGCTTTCAAGTCACAATATACATATTTCTACACATCTAGTGTAATATACTACAGTTTGGAACAGTGTAAGCACAATGGTTAAAGCTACTAGCTTCAGGGAAGGATGCTGACCAGAGGAGCAACAGTTCGAAACCGTCAACCTAGCTTCTGTCAACCTAGCAGTTCGAAAGCATGCAATGCTAGTAGATCAATAGGTACTACCTCAGTGGGAAGCTAAAAGAGTCCCCCATATGCTGGCAAAAAGATCAGAGATGTCTACAAGGTTCCTTCGGCATGGAAAATGGAGCAAGAGCACCTCCTCATGGCTGGAAGTTGAGCATCACCTTCAGATGCCAGAAATGGAAAAAAAAGGGGAAGGCCTTTACCTTATCTGCCTATTGTATATCGTTGTTTTTGTAAAAAGAAATTGAATGTTTGCCTTTATGTGTACTGTAATCCGCTCTGAATCCCTCCAGGGAGATAAAGCAGAATATAAATAAGTGTATTATTATTGTATTAACTAAAGATGAAGTAAATAAAATGTGGAGGGATCTCATGGGTTCACTGCTCTTGACAAAATTGCACATGTTGCCTCTCATTTCATGGCAAACTTACACATGCCTACTTAGACTAAAAGTTAATTGAGTTCAATGGGATCTATTCCTAGGTACAGGAAGTAAAACATTGCACCGTTAATATATAAACAAGCTTTAGCTGGTAGATCAATCAATTGAATCTCTGATTGGTCAATTGCCAAGGACAGCTTTGAACAGTGAGACAGAACCCAACTTCTGCTATATTTTGAAGCTATTTTCTGGCAGTTTTACTCCAATGGGAGATTAAATGCAAAATACTGAAAGTATCCTTTTCATTTAGCAGTGGGTGGCTACTTTTTTTGGCTCAACTAGAAATCTGCATTTTCATTAGCAACTCATAAAGAGGTCCACTGCTAAGTCTTTACATTTTAAATCAATAAATTTATCTATTAATTTGCTTAAAAAAGGAGGTGATTGCTCAACAATTGCTAAATTGGTCGACTGCTCTAATAACTACACAGGGGGGCTGTGACAAGGCTATTAAAAGGCGGATCAATCCTTTAAGCCCCAAACATTTATTTTACATAAAGCATGCTATGTGGCAGCATAACTGCTTTTAATCTTAAAAATTAAACAGTTCTTCTTTTCTCTGAGTTTGGAATAAGGCTGAGGGTGGTGGTGCAAAGCTCCCTTTGCAACAGATGGGGACCTGTCACATCAGTTGATTCTTAATTCCTATGGATCCATGTTTAAAACCCATTGATAGGTGCTTTAAGGACATCTATCATCATAATTATTAAAAAAAATACTAAATGTGCTGTACAAGTTGATCTTGGGGTAAAGTGTTTGCATCGGGCTCTGCTGGAATATTGGAGATTACATTAAACCGCCAGTTCATCAATTGTCATATTACTAATGGGTAACTACAAGGACAAATCCTCACAGTCACCAGGCAAGTATCAGATGAACACTCTTGGGAATCGGAATGACTACATGTGCAAAACATTGATAAAGTGTAATTTCAATGAATCGCAGTGCTCTCTGGACTATCCTCCAAAAAATCGGGTGCCCTAACAAATTTGTGAACATCCTGCGGCTCCTCCATGATGACAGCAGTCTTGGACAGCAATAGCTCCCAAAGTGACCCATTTAAGGTGGAATCAGGTGTCAAATAGGGATGTGTTAATGCCCCAACTTTATTCTCCATCTTAATCACTATGATACTTCATCTTGTTGACAGGAAACTTCCCACCGGAGTGGAAATCATCTATCGCACAGATGGCAAGCTATTTAACCTCAGCAGACTGAAAGCCAAGACCAAGGTTACAACAACATCTGTTATAGAACTCCAATATTCTGATGACAACGTTGTCTGTGTGCATTCAGAAGAAGACCTACAAGCCACTCTAAAAACCTTCACAGAAGCATACAAGAAGCTCGGCCTGTCACTGAACATTGAAAAAACCAAAGTGTTCTTCCAGCAGTCACCAGCATATCCCTTTCCATTGCCAGGAATACAGCTTAATGGTGTAACATTAGAAAATGTAGATTATTTCCACTACCTTGGCAGCCACCTCTCCACAAAAGTCAACACTGAAACTGAAATGCAACATCGCCTGAGCAGTGCAAGTGCAGCTTTTTTCCGAATGAAGCAGAGAGTGTTTGAGGACTGGGACATCCATAGGGATACCAAGGTGCTTGTTTATAAAGCTTGCTTTATGCCTGCGAGACATGGACTGTCTACAGACGTCACATGCAACTCCTGGAACTATTCCATCAGCGCTGCCTCCAGAAAATCCTGCAAATCTCTTGGGAAGACAAGCGGACAAATGTACTGGAAGAAGCAAATACCACCAGCATTGAAGCGATGGTCCTCCGCCATCAACTCTGCTAGACCGGCCACATTGTCTGGATGCCCGACCACTGTCTCCCAAAGTAGTTGCTCTACTCCGAACTCAAAAATGGAAAATGGAATGTTGGAGGACAGGAAAAGAGATTTAAACATTATAAACTCTGGCATAGACAGTGAGAATTGGGCACTAATGGATAGCGAAAGAGAGAAATGTGCCAAGAGGAAGGCGCGTCAAGCCAACCCTAACTGGGACCAACTTTCACCTGGAAACCAATGCCCTCACTGTGGGAGAAGATGCAGATCAAGAATTGGGCTCCACAGTCACCTACGAACCCACTGCCAGACACCAACCTTGAAGGACTATCCTACTCAGACAACGAGGGATTGCCTAAGTAAGTAATTTCAATGATGTGGTAGGGGAAGGGGAGAAGGGGAAAATGAGTTTCTCATAAGCAAAATAATTTGATAAAGGCCCGTAGATATATTAATGTACCACTTTCCTGTGGCCTGGGCCCAGGAGTCCCCATGACAGCTAACCACCAAGTCCTTATACTGGGGGAGAATGGCAGCAGGCTAAGCCAACACTCATCTCCATCTTCTGCAGACCTTCACCCTTACAGACAGCTGGTCTAATGATTATCCTAGAAGCTAGAGAAAGCATGTGGGCAGTTGCCTAGCAACCCTCCTCTTTGGCTTCAAGGTAACTTAGAGGCAGGAGGGAGATAAATAGATGGGTCGCCTTAAAACCATCTGTGGGCTTCTATCCAGTCTTCTCCATCCAAGCATGAAGATGACTTAATATTAAACCACAGGAGACAGCACCTGCTTACCCTTCTGTGGCTCATTCCTGTAAGATATCACACAGCTCCAAATAAAAGAATGACCAAATGCATATACAACTCAGCTTCCATAGAAGGTGATCTTGAAAGGAGCATTCAGCTCATAGCAACATTTGGTCCTTAAGGATCTTAGTCAATGAGTTGTCTCTTCTTCAAGTTGCTTTTTCAGCCTTCAATTTCAAGAGAGTATTAAAAATCTATTCATGTTTCTTCATCAGGAAATGGACTGAGGTTCAATCACTGGCTTGCCATCAACCATTGCCAGAGAAGAGTCAGCATGCTTTTGTTGAATTAAACTCAAGGTTCACCTAATCCAGTATTCTGGCCACAGTCCATCCACATGACTCCAGATCAGAGCTTTCCAAACTTTTCATGTGGGTGACACGCTTTTTAGACATGCATCTTTTCACAACGTGGTAATTCAGTTTTACTGGCAAACCGGAGGTTAAACCAACTCCTTATTAGTGTTTCATACAATGTATTTTAATTAATTATAATATATGTAAGTTTCACATATTCTTTACTGTATAAACAAGGTTTGGATCTTTTCCTTTACATTTCTTATGTACTACAGTTGATTCTTGTATAGTTTCTATAGCTGCTCCATGTAGCTCATGACAAATATAATTTCATTTCTTAATTTGGAAAATTTAGTAGCATTTACTGCAGCTCAACCAACAAATTGTGCAATTGTTTTTTTAAAAAATTATATAACAGCATCTTCGCTTGAACAATACCAGCCTTTGTTTGTGGGGCAGGGAAGCATTTTTACATGACACACTTTGGGACTACAGGTGATACACTAGTGTGTCCCAGCACAAAGTTTGGAAAGCTCTGCTCTAGATGTTCATAGGTTAAAGCAGGGGTCCTCAAACTAAGGCCCAGGGGCCAGATACGGCCCTCCAAGGTCATTTACCCAGCCCTCACTCAGGGTCAACCTAAGTCTGAAATGATTTGAGAGCACACAGCAACAACGGCAATCCTATCTCATCAACCAAAAGCAGGCCCACACTGCCCATTGAAATACTAACAAGTTTATATTTGTTAAAATTGTTCTCCATTTTAATTATTGCTTTTTTTTGTTTTGTTTTTTGTTTTGTTTTGTTTTGTTTTTGCACTATAAATAAGATATGTGCAGTGTGCAAAGGAATTCATTCAATTTTTTTCCCAAATTATAATCCGGCCCTCCAACAGTTTGAGGGACTATGACCTGGCCCTCTGTTTAAAAAGTTTGAGGACCCCTACTATATGTTTGAAAGTAGTATTTAACTACTTCCAAATAATTCCAAGTATTCTATATTATTTATCGAAAAACCAAAAGTAAATCATTGTTTTTGTTTCACTCTTCACCAAAAAAGAAAGAAAGAAAGAAAGAAAGAAAGAAAGAAAGAAAGAAAGAAAGAAAGAAAAAGGAAAGGAAAGGAAAGAAAGGTCAGGCCACGATTCCCAAGTGTAATATATTTAAATAACGGCCACAATCCTTTCTAGCAATTGCACACACGTTATTGGGTGACGCTAAATTCTGAATCTCTATTTCTCACAGCACATGGTAAACATTTCACCTTTACCTTTAGCTGATTCAGCATTTAGGAATAAAGGCTGCTGGTCTGAATTGAGTCTCACTCTTGATGCTACCGATAAGATGCACAACTTGACAGTGAAGGTTATCTCACACAGTTAATTCCTCAGAGTCTTTCTGCAAGGAAAAGAGAAAAAGAGAAGGGTTTTATTCTTACTATTCCATCTGTATTTACCATGTCCTAGTTCTAAGGAGTTCAGAGTAAGGTAGGTTAGGTAGAAGCTATGGTTTGCACAAGACCAGTCAATAAACTTTACCGCACGGGTGGGTAAACTCTTTCAGCTTAGAGGCCAGATTCAATCTCTGAAATGTTATTGGAGAACAACACTCATGTGGTGGATGTGGTCAAAGATAAAAGGCCAGGAGCAAAAGTAACATATTTTAGATGAAAACTCCATAGCTACACCCAAAGAGAGGCATTTCAATAATTTAGAACTTTAAATGAAAGCATACAAAAACTTGGAAACGATCAAATGAAAAAGCGGGGCACAGGTATCTCAGCCAGGATGAGGGGCACAGAACTCTGAATTAAATCTGCACCCCCCTTTTAGAGCCAGGCAGGGACCTGAAATGCTCTTTTTTTATATCCAAACCCATTCCAGCAGCCTAGCTAAAATATTCCTCTTTTGCTACAAATATAAATCTAGAATGCTTCTTAGAAGGCAGCAATTCATCTGGCAACAGAATGTACCTAATTTCTCTATATATTAGAAATTCTCAAACTGTCATTTAATTCCATTTTTGGACACGTCCTCTAATTGTCTCACAAGTCTTCTATTCCTCTTACATTAAGAGAAAATCTAACTTGCAGTTTTTTCTATTCACAGATGTTGAACTGCTTCCTCATGTGGGTTCAGAGCTCCAAGACTATGCTGCTCACAAAAGTAAACCATTTGCCTGAGTATTTTGTTGCAATTAAAGCTGGTCACCAGTGTATTGCTAAAATTAAATACGTTTCCAACATATATTAAATCTGAGCTCTCTAAGGCCACTTGCAGACACATTTCAAAGCAACAGGTTTAGGTTTTCTAATATGCTTAGCAAGGAGCTGCTAATAATATTATTTATTTATTTGTAGTATTTCTATCCCGTCTCTTCTCTACCCCCGAAGGGGGACTCAGGACAGCTTACATATAGTAGCGATGCAACACCGCTACCCAACAATTACAATAATAAAATCACAATTAAATGCAACAGTAATCATTAAAACAGTAATACATAAAACCATAAAACAATAATAGGACTTGAACATTTCATTTTAATTGTTGAACTGTTATATTTTGTATTGTTTGTTGTGTGATTTGGGCATCTAATTGTGCCTCCTTTGTAAGCCGCCCTGAGTCCCCCCCGGGGTGAGAAGGGCGGGGTATAAGTAGATGAAATAATGAAATAACAAGTCCACATGTATGATACACATGTTGACAAATACTTTTTTGCGTATGTACACTTTACCTTGTATGCCTGTACACACAATAATTTAAAGCTTTCCAAATACTTAAGATATAGCAAACTGCACTCATTTATTTACCATAAATGTTCAGATGTTCATTGTTCATAACCTACCCCCTGTGACTCTCACATGTCCTATGTGCCAGTTTGGTGATGAGTATGCTACTTAACTTGGATGCCTCCAGAAAAACCCATGCCGTGTGCATGTGAATCTTGATATTTAAAGTAGCTGCAAGTAGATGAATAATCTATTCACATACTATTAGAGTACTATTTCTCTCAATTGCCCTTGCAAAGCAGAACCCAATTTGGGGGGGAGGGTAGTGCTGGAGACCAATAGTAGGGTCAGACTGGTGGTGAAGAAAATATTTTCACCTTAGTTTTAGAATACCGAAAGATGGAACCACTGGAAGGGGGTGGGATAGTGGTCCAAAATGAAATAATATAAATGAGAAACTTTATATCTTATTGTGAAAAATTCAAACTAGTTTGAATGATAGAAAATAATAAAGCCATTCAATTAAATTAAAACATGAATTCTCTTCATTCATATGACTACAATTGGGGAACATTTCCTCAACTAACAAGAGATCAGTCTTGGCAAGTCAGGTCCAAGGCTGGGAAGTGAAGAGAGGACATTTATTTTTGCTATGTTTCAAATAGGAGACACTTTGGCTCCGGTTACTCACTGACTACTTAGTGCCCCCTCACATAAGTGAATGGTGATACTTTGCACCACTGGAGGCCTCCTCCCCTCTTCTATACAGTATAAGCTAAGCAAGACCTCACCCAAATAGGCGAATTTTGTCAGAGTCCTTGGACTGGAAGAAATCTTTTTTTTTCCAACTATAAATATACTGAGTTGTGCGCCATGTTGTGAAATCTCTCAGTGCCGCTCCATACTGTGTGCTCAATCATTCTCATTCAATTTCACCACTACTTCCAATGCCTGCACAGTGCATCACTGCAAATTGGCATTCACAACTTGGCTTTCTTTTCCACACAACTGATTGCTTTATAGTTTCTTCTTTTTGAGTTGACAGGTACCCGGTCTCTGACTTCCCACCACAAAACGTATTCTAGCAGTCAGGCCACAGTATTTGGCCTGACACTAAGTGAAACAAAGTCATACAAGGTTACAGAGAGAGTGAGGAGCTCAATAAAGCAAGTTATTAGAAGCACAAGATGCCTAGGAACCACCATAAGCCTATCTAGAAAGAACATTGTTATGAAATATTTTCTCTGTTTCCTCCTTCCCCCAGTTACCAACAACAGGATGCATACAAATCGGGGGCCTTTCACCTCCATTAGCAGTTCTGAGACAGCAGATGGTCATCTACTGGTTGCTAAGCATCACAGTAGCTAAGTAGCTCACCACTACAAGAACATACCAAGCTATATTCTTATTTAACTTATCTTTCATTGGTTTAAGTAAGAAACTTCCACATAAGAAAGAGAGCCTAAATCAGTGTGGCAGCACATAAATGTAATTTCCCATCTATAGGCATATTAGCTAGATTTGCATTTATTAAAACAGGAGCCAATTCTGCAAGAAACAGACCCTGAAAATCTAGTTGATAATATCAGTTAGCTAGATCATGAGGGAAATCTACTTTGGATGAATGCTACCAACTTGAGCAAATTTAATCTGCAGATAAATATTCTAAATAGGCAGGATCTAGATATGTGTGGCTGAGTATTATATAAGCAGTTGTTTACTTCCAATACTATTCTGATACTAAAGTATTTCTGTAATAGGTAATAAAAACACTAACAGTAGTATTTCCGTCTCAAGGGGATAAGTGGTATTTTTATCAATTTTTTCTTCAAAAGACAGCTAGAGCAATATTTAGATAATATGCTTGTTATTGAAACTCTGGGACCCCAAATGGACCCCAATATCAATGACCTGAGAACTGCCATGAAGGATCCCAGTCACAGAGTCAATGGATGACTCCCCCCCCCACCAGATGCCCAGTTCAGCTAACCACAGCATGTTACCTTCAGCCTGAATCTACAGAGTTGAACAAGCACATATACACACACCAGGACAAATCTCATCATCCTTTCACACAACAGACATAACTCCCTAGCAATATCTCCATTCACCTAACCATGAATTAAGACCTAGAGGTAGTATAAGTTGCCCCAAACCCCTCCTTGGCCTTTCCTGGGAACCTATTCAAGCATGCCAACACCCATCTGTCATCCATTGTCGAGAAGACCGTCAGACCCATTGTCTCAACCTGGGCTGGCAGAAATACAGTCATTAGCAGCCATCAAGTCAGACCCTACCCACATTCCTTTTCCCTATGTACTCATCAGAGGCAGATCAAAAAACAGTCACAAAGCTTCACATTGAGTAATAACAGTTTATTAAAATTCCAGCCAGACTGAGGGGCAAATTAGCAACAGCAATGGATGGTGCAGTTCAGCAAACCAGAGTATAGAGATCATAGCTGGCCCCAGTCTGAGCCAATTGCACTCAAAGCAGCAAAAGTCAATTGTTTTGAACTGTTGTCACACATGTATAAATGCTACAGGCAGTCCACAAGTTACAAACATCCAAATTACAAATGACTCATACTTAAGAACAGAACCGAGACAACAGGAAGTGAGAGAGATCTATCCCTAGGAAGGAAATTCACTCCTGGAAGAGTTGCCACAGGGAAAAGGTGTTGCAATTGAAGCTTTATCACTGATCCTTGATCCTTGTTTCCACAAGCCCCCTTACTCGAAGGCCTGGTTCCACATCCATGTTTTTAACTTCCTTTTAAAGGAGAGGAGGGATGAAGATGACCTGATTTCCCCGGGGAGTTAATTTCACAGACGGGGGGCCACCACCGAGAAGGCCCTGTCCCTCATCCCTGCCAACCGTGTCAACCGGCTGAGAGCAGGGTGTCTCCAGAAGATCTTAAACTTCTAGGTGGGGACGTAGAAGGAGATATGTTTGGACAAGTACGCTGGGCCGGAATCGTACGGTGGGCCAGAAGTTGACTTATCCATGACTCAATGTGAGTACTGTACTTTAGTACCTATCGAAAAAGAAGCTGAACCCTTCTCTAAATAGAGCATTGAAAGGCAAGAACTTAGTTTGTTCCTAGGAGAATCTAAAAGAAGCACCAATTCCCGGGACCGTACGCTGGGCTGGAAGTTGACTTATCCATGACTCAATGTGAGTACTGTACTTTAGTACCTATCGAAAAAGAAGCTGAGCCCTTCTCTGAATAGAGCACTGAAAGGCAAGAACTTAGTTTGTCCTTGGGAGAACCTAAAAGAAGAACCAACTCCCTCTACTCTATCTGCCATGGTGTCATTTTTTAATATCTGGCAAGTAAATAGAGGCGGTGATAGCCAGAAGTGACTTAGTGTGCTGGTATTGGTGCTTTCTCCTCTTCATAGAATGACCCACAACCTATCCACGGGTCATATCAAAATCCATAATTTTGGCCCCAAACCTACCCTCAACTTGTACATGAGGTCACTTATGCATGAGTATATATGGAAAGTAGATAGACAGAGAAAGCATTTGTCTATTATAAGATTCCAAACCTTGGATCTAAAAGGTGTTGGTTCTGATTGAGAAAAACCTCAATAAAGCTGCGAGATTCCTTTTCTCTCCCTCTTCCCTCATTTTTATCTCAACAAAGCCTGTCTGCCTTCCTAAA